CTTCCTCTTTTCCTATTTGGATACCCCTGATTGCCTCCTCTTCTCTGATTGCTCAAACCAGGACTTCCAATTCTGTGTGACTGTTGAAAGAGAATCTAGGAGAAACTGAAACTGGTTTTTCTGCATTCTGAGGTACATACTACTTTTAGTCTTATTTTACAGATGAAGAGATAGGTCTGGAGAGGTTAATGACCCTGTCTAAGTGAAGAGCAAAGTTTAGAATCCAGACAGTCTAGCCCGGAATCTGTGCCCCTTAACAAAGCCTGCTGAATGAATGGATAAGCGGAAGGATGGATGGAAGGAAGGAAGGAAAGGTGGATGGATGGATGAATAAATGGATAAATGGAAGGATGCATGGATGGGTGAATGAATGGCAAGATGGGAGGATGGATGAATGGAAGGATGAATGAATGGATGAATGGGTGGGTGGATGGATGGGTGGATGGATGAATGGAAGGATGAATGGATGGATAAATAAGTAAATGGAAGGATACATGTATGGATGAATGAATGAAAGGATGGGTGGAAGGATGAGTGGATGGATGAACGGATGGATGGAAGAATGGATAGAGGGAAGGATGGAAGGAAGGAAGGAGAGATGGATGGATGAAAGGAAGGATGGATGGATGGATGGACGAATAAAAGCATGGAAGAACAAATGGATAGATGGATGGACAGACAGACAGGTGGATGGATGGATGGGTGGATGTATGGATGGATGGATGGATGGATGGATGGATGGAGGAACAGACGGATAGAGGGAGGGGTGCATGAGTGGGTGGGCAGATGGACAGATGGGTGGTAGATAAATGGGTGGGTAGGTGGATGGGTGGATGAATGGGTGGATGAACGGGTGGGTGGAAGAATGGATAGATGGATGGATGGACTGGTGGACGACATAAGGCAGGGGTTGTCAGCCTTCTTCCCCTTTCAGTATGCACAACTGGTGACATTTGGGTGTATGCAATACTCTCAGCAGGCATTGTTCATTGACTCCAGGCCAAGAAAGCAGTCTAGAATCCACTTGCACTAAATTAAGACAGAATAGGCAAGAGCCCTCAGACCTGGGTCCTCTGGCTACCCAAGGTGGATAGATGGACGTGACAGAGCAGCACCCAGCTTGCACCCACTGCCTCCTGGAGGAATAAAGGATGAGAGGGAAGCTAGGCTGCAGCCCCTGTGAGTGGTCTGTGCCAGGGGGCTTGGACAAATGCAGACATTTGTCAAAAGCATCTGGTGACTGTCCCCACTGTCATGGAATGGTCCTCTCTCTGGCCTCTGCAGAATCCTCCACAGTGACCCTGGGAACCAAGAACATCCAGAACGGAGCCAGCTGCTCAGCCACTGGGGTCAGGCTTGCCAGGCCAAGTGGGCTCTCAGCCCAGCAGGCAAATGTGTACTTGACCTGTCAAAGAGCTGCCTTAAGCTCAAACTCTCCCCGTGGGGACAGAGCCAACCTCAGCCCCTTCCAGCACCTCAGTCCAGCCCACGGGACTCACTGTTCCTTCCTCAGTGTCTCCACGGTACTTTGTTCCTGCAGCTTTTAAACACTTGCTGCAGGCTGGAAACACATCTCTCTGCTTCCAAGGTGATATTCTCTCCGCAATCCCAAGCACTCCTGGGGTTTATGTAGTTTTCTGTCTATGAGATTAGAACTGGAAATGCAAGTGATGATTGGAATCCCACTGGGCTCTTCTCTTTAGGTAGAAAGAGTTATGGAAAATCAGACTCCTCAGTGAGGGTCGTGACGAGCCTTCCTGTGGAGATTGCCTTTGAATTGAGCTTCCCTCCGTTCTGTAGTCAGCCAGTCATTCAACATTTCCTGAACTCCCACTTCTGTGTCTCTACACCAGGCACTGGGTAAATTTGGATAAAAAGGACCTGGCTCTGCCTTAGAGGTCAATACAATGGGGCTATCAGGCCCTAGAGTTTGCTGACATGCTCAAATCTCTCTTTTTAGAGTAAGAAGTCACCTTGTAGGAATTTTTTCTGAGAGTCATTTACTAGGGCTTTGAGACCATCTCTCTCTTTTAATTTTTCTTTTTTTTTGAGGCTGAGTCTCACTCTGTCACCCACGCTGGAGTGCAGTGTCACATTCATGGCCACTGCAGCCTCTACCTTCTGGGATCAAGCAATCCTTCTGCCTCAGCCTTCCAAGTAGCTGGGACTTCAGGCGTATGCCACCACGCCTGACTAATTTTTTGATTTGTTGTAGAGATGAGGTCTCACCACGTTGTCCAGGCTGGTTTTGAACACTGGCTCAGGCAATCCTCCCCTCTTGGCCTCCCAAAGTGCTGGGTTTACAGGCATGAACCACTGTGCCCAGTGCCATCTCTCTTTTACAAAATATTGTTTTAAAACTTTTAATGGTGATTTTTTAAAACATAGTCTATATTTTTAAATCTACAATATCTATTCATTCACTAAAAATCTGTATGCAGTACTGTGCCTGGATAGGGTGGGAGGAACCACAAAGTAGAAAAAAATTTCCTTCTAAGAATCCAAGTGCTAAATAGCAGGAGTTGCATGGAGGCAGAAAACCAACCAGGGACTTCATGTGTGATTGCAAGTGTCATTCATTCATTCCTTCATTCAGTCGTGAGCATTGCTGGTCCGTGCTGTGCCTGGGCTCGGGCTGCCACGGGAGCTCGGGCGGCAGAAGGAGTCCCAGATGAGTCCTACCCTCAAAACCCAGGGAGAGAAAGAAGCAGTGTAGGGTAAACACCAGGCTACTGTGGCTTCACCAAAAAGCCCATGCCAGCCTGCGGCCCTGCGCAGAAGCAGAAGATTCTGTGGACTCTGAAGAACTGAAGGGCTTTGGGGAAGACGGGAGGGCATTCAAGGCTGGGAGGGCAGAGCAAAAGCCACAGGTGCTAGGGATTTCTCATTAGGAACTGAGCCCCAAAGGGGAGACCTTGCTCCAAGTAATATCTGCCTCAGGGGTCATAAATGAGGTAGGTTATCAGTGCGGGCTAGACACCAATGGATGAGGGTCTTGCAGGCAGGTTAAATTAAAACAGGGGTAGTGCGTTCAGACATCTTTTCTATCGTACATGACCTTCAGCTGACCAATCGGGCACTCCAGATCTGACCATCTTGTGGACTGGAATGTGGAGATACTAGTGCAGGAAATCATGGAAATGGGTACTCACCCAAAACACAGACAGGATGTTCTAAGAAAAGCCCACATTAAAGTTATTAAGCAATAACTTTAATTATTTAGAAGGTTGGGAGATGGTCATCAAAACTCATGACCAGACACCTGTAGCCCACCCCTCTTAGCTCATGGTTTGCTTAATCATGATCATATAAGTATATAGGTTTCTTTTCTAAGGCAAGCATATGCCACTCTTAAGCATGCCTCATTCTAATAAATTCTGCCTTAAACTATACTCTAGGGTAACCCCCTCGGGTCCCCTCCCACTGTGGGAGATTTTCTGTCCTCTCAATAAATCCTGCTTTCTCAAAACAAAACAAAAACTATACTCTAGACTTGCTCTGAAATGCTTTTCTGTGGTAAATTCAAAGAGACCACAGAGCATCACGCTGTCCCCCAACCGGCACAGCTCACTGATGCTGAAACTGCTTCCTTTGGGAGGGGTCATACTCTCCAATTTGCTCCTCTCTCTCTCTTCACCCAGATTCTCTGTGCTGTTCAAGGCTGGCAGGATGGCCTTCACACTCCACCTGAGGTCCTGTCTTTCCTCTGCCATAAGGAGTTTGAGTCTACAGAATAAATCATCACCAGGAACACAGCCAACATGGCTGGGGGTAAGTGGTGCTAGATGTTGTTTTATTTTATGTTTGAGACAGTGTCTTACTATGTGGCCCAGGCTGGCCTCGAACTCCTGTCCTCAAGTGATCCTCCACCTTGGCCTCCCAAAGTGCTAGGATTACAGGTGTGAGTGCCACACCTGGCCAGTGCTAGATGTTTAAAAAAAAATTCAGGAAACGTCAGCTGTGTAGAGCCCAGAAATTCCTGAGATAATAAGCTTCTGCATGGGAGACAGAAAGTAAGAGCAAAATGATGTTAGCTGGGTCACAACTTAACTTCCCAAAAGTAACTGGCACCTTGGACCAGACTCAAGGTGCAGAAGGCTCATTGGATGGGCCTGGCACCCCTCAGGTCTACTAGGTCACCTCAGTTTCATGCAGGGAACCAGAGATCCGCCAATGGGCTCGAAGGATGGGAGGGCTTCTCCTGGAGGGAAGCCATTCCAAGTTGCACTGCAGTTTCATCTGATTTGGAATCCGACCAGTCTTCCCTACCCTGGATCCCAGGTGGCACCTATTCCCCCAGTGTCTCCCAGGAGTGACACCCAAGGGTCTCAAGTGTCCTGCAAGAGAAAGTGGATGTCAAATTTGTCATGGATCTAAGTGCCAGCAAAATTTCACATTAAAAAAGGCTTTGGGCTGGGTGCAGTGGCTCATGCTTATAATCCTAGTGCTTTGGGAGGCCAGTCCAGGAGTTGGAGATCAGCCTAGGCAACATAGTGAGAACTCGTCTCTATAAAAATAAAAAAATTAATTGGGCATGCATACCTGTGATTACAGCTACTTGGGAGACAGAGACAGAAGGATCACCTGAACCCAAAAGGTCAAGGCTGTGGTGAGCCATAATTGTGCCACTGCCCTCCACCCTGGGCAACAAAATGAGACCTAGACTAAAATGAAACAAAACAAACAAAAAATCAGACTTTTCTTGCTATGTTGTAAGTGTCAAGGGGAAAACCAGCAACACTAGAGCAAGACAATTTTCCTTTAGTTTATTTACATGTCTGACCTCTGTTGCTGTTTATAAGAGTCATCTATTGTTACATAACAAAGCACCCCAAAACTTAGTGGCTTAAAATCTGATTCTGTGATTGAGGATGGGCTCAGCAGACAGTTCTTTTGCTCCATTTATGTCATTGTTGGGGCTACACCATCCAAGGTGACTTCTTCTTCACATGTGTAGTGTCTACTGGGGTGACTGGAACAGCAGAGGCTGGCTATTTCTCTATGAAGCCTCCCCAACAATGGTAGTCAAACTCCTCTAGGTGGTAGCTCAGCACCCTAAGAAAGAGTATTCTAAGAGACTGAGCCCTAATGCCCAAGCACGTGTCAAGCCTCTGTTTGCATCTCACCTACTTTGTCCCATCAGTCAAGGAAAATTACACCGCCAAGGCCAGAGTTGCTGGGGAAGGGGCTATGGTGGGGTGTGAATATTAGGAAGCATGTTTATGAGGAGGGACCTACGAAAACTGGAATTAGCTTTTGGAGGGCAGGCCCCTATAGTACAGGCTTCCCCTGCTACGTACGTGTTCTAGGAACCCATCAGCATCTGTACAACAGTTAGCGTTGCGTGGGAGAGACTACATTTGGCTTCAGTGAATTTTTTTTTGGAGATTCTTTCAACATGATTGTTCATTTCATGATGGATGAATTACAAGTGCACCTGCCCACACAGCCCTGGGTGTCCAGCAGTTTTTGACCAAAAATAGCATGACCCCCCATGCCCTAGCCTCCCTATTCACCTGACCTAGCCCTGAGTGATTTTTGTTTGTTTCCCCAGATGAAAAAATCCTCAAAGGGAAATGTTTTGCCGATGTGGAAGAGGTGAAACAAAAAATGGCAGAAGGAAAAAAAGGCATCAAAACCGATGAGTTCAAACCAGTTTTGAGCAGTGGAAAAAGCATCTCGATAGGGGTATTGCATCAAATGGAGAATATTTTGAAGGTGACTGAATGTAAGAATACACAATTTCTTATAAACAAATTCCGGTTTTTTAGGGGACCTCCCTTATATGTATACACAATAGTGAGCCGCCAGGGATTGTCTACCACATCCTGCTACACACAGTCAGTAAACACTAGCTTAGCCCTGGGTCTATGCCTCCTTCCAGGCTCTCACAAGGCCGGACAGCCTCAAGCCCAGAGTCTGACGGCCTGGGTGCAAATCTTGGTTGGGCCTTTTCCTGTATGACCTCTCCAGGTCACATCTGTAGAATGAAAGTAGCAACACAATCTTCCCTGTGGGACCATCGGAGGGTCCTGGCCAATGCGGGGGAATGTCAGTCTCTGTCACCTGTTTAGTGGGGCGCTCCAGGGGAGAAAGGCTTGTTCTACCGAACAGTTGGAAAATTCCAGCTTAAAACTGTTCTCCAGGCTGTACACGTGGTCAAGCATGCCAAAGGCCATTTTTCTGTTTGCCAGAGGGACTCAAGGGACGCACGGGTCACCTCGGACCGTGACATGTCCTCAGCGAGAAGGCAAGAACTTCTACTTCCCTGTCCTCCAAAAGGGGCCAAGGAGCCCCCAGTGTGTGTCCTGTTCCTGATGGGCACAATTCAGGACTTCTCTGTCCATCTCTGGCATGAAGAAACACGTACACACAGGGCCCCCGCCGGCTGTGCAGTCGGGAGGGAGACAGAGGTGCTCGGTGTGTATAACGCCACCCAAGTCGTATGAAAAGCCCAATTTTCTCTCAGATCAGGCTCTGGAGGAAAGTGGCGGGTGGAGTGAAGGGGGCCCAGGCCAGCTGTGCCCTTTCCACCTGCCTGCACCGGGCTTGCTCGAGATGTGTGTCGGCCCCCTAGGCCTCTGTAGCTGGGGTGTCCATGTGTCTTTGTTTAAAAAATCTGTCTGGCCGGGCTCGGTGGCTCAGCCTGTAATCCCGTGCCTTTGGGAGGCTGAGGTGAGTGGAATGCCTGAGCCTGAGGGTTCGAGACCCGCCTGGGCAGTGAGACCTCATCTCTACAATAAATTTTAAAAAAAGTCAGCTGGGCATGGTAGCGCATGCCTGTAATTCCGGTTACTCGGAAGGCTGAGGCGGAAGGATCGCCGGAGCCCAGCAGGTCGAGGCTGCGGTGGCCGGGAGCGGCCAGACTGCACTCCAGTCTGGGCGACAGAGTGAGACTCCAACTCAAAAAAAAAGTCTGTCTGCAGCACCGACAGGCGCCATGGCCGAGGCCACTGCTCCAGGCACTGCCAGGGGAGCAGGAGCTTGTCCTCGACTCTCCCAGCATCTGTGTCAGTCCATAGTCCCCAGAGGAAGGGCTGCAGGAGGTGGTGAACCCACCTCAGGGAGGCCCAGTGCGTGTGGTCCGTGAAGTGAGAGCAATTCAGGGGCCACCTGGTCCAGGTTTAAGTGCTGGTTGTGTCACGCACCAGCTATGTGTCCCTGGGAAAGTCACTGCACTTCTCTGAGATTTATTTTCCTCATATATAAAATATGGATATGGCTGGGCACTGCAGCTCACACTTGATGTCCCAGCACATTGGGAGGCCGAGACGAGAAGATCGCTTGAGGCCAGAGATTGGAGACCAGCCTGGGCAGCATAGTGAGATCCCATCTCTACGAAAAATAAAAAATTAGTCAGGCATGATGGCGCATACCTGTACTTTCAGCTATTCAGGAGGTTGAGGTGGGAGGATTTCCTGAGCCCAGAAAATCAAGGCTGTGGTAAGCCATGATCATGCCACTGCACTCCAGCCTGGGCAGCAGAGCGAGATTCCAACTCAAAAAATAAGAAATTAAAAAGTCAGGCATAGTGGTGTATACCTGTAGTTCCAACTACTTGGAAGGCCGAGACTCCTTGCTTGAGTCAAGGAGTCCAAGGCCAGCCTGGGAGGCATAGCGAGACCCCATCACTTAAAAAAAAGTAAAAAAAAAAAAAAGTTGAATGAGCATCTGCCAAGAAACAACTGACTGTACGTTTGTCCCCTCTTCCACCAAGCCAGCACTCTGGCCAGCAGCAGGGTGGTCCTACATGGGTCCCAGTTCCAGCCTCTGAGAGGTTCTGGCAGGCCAACCCCAGCCCTCTGCCCCTGCTGGGCCAGAATGAGCCAGAAAAGTGGGTGTCACCCACCCGAGACCCAGTCCCTGACACCAGGTGAAGAGGCTGGACTACGGGGGTGGAGACTTGGGAGTGTCAGAGGCTGCAGCCGAGGGATCTCCATCCCACCTCAGGGACCCCACGGGCCTGGCACAGGTCCCACTTATGACTATTGCTCAGGAATGAGCGGCCTCCCCCATTCCTGCTCCTCCCCTAATCCCTGGCCCTATGCATGGCCTGGGTAAAATCCTCAGGATCATGGAGAAAGCCCAACCCTGAAGTCCTGAGGGCTCTGCCATCGGCCCACCCACGCCCAGATCAGACCTGATCAAGGAGAAAGTGAAAACACTCTCATTAAACACAGACAGACACATTGCAGTGTGTGTTCTCTAGATGGTTTGTTTTGTTTTGGAGTAGGAGTAGGAGTCTCCCTCTGTCACCCAGGTTAGAGTGCAGTGGCATGATCATGGCTCACCGCAGCCTCAACTTCCTGGGCTCAGACGATCCTCCCTCCTTGGCTTCCCATGTAACTGGGACTACATGCACACCACCACCACATCTGGCTAATTTTTAGATTTTTTTTTGTAAAGACAAGATCTCACTATGTCACCCAGGCTAGTCTCAAACTCCTGGGCTCAAGCCATCCTCCTGCTCTGCCTCCTGAGTATGGGGATTACATATATGAGCCACTGGGCCCGGCCCCCGACAGTTTTCCTGAAGCTGGGGCAGGATAGGTAGGGGACCCCATGACCGGCAGGGTCTGGTGGAAGGATCGCCTGAGCCCAGGAGGTCCATGCTGCGGTGAGCTCTGATCATGCCACTGTACTCCAGCCTGGGCAGCAGAGTGAGACCCCCGACTCAAAAAAAAAAAAAAGCAAACAAACAAAAAGCACAAACCAGAGGCCACAGCCCACAGAGACACTCTCTCTGGCTTTCTTCTGTCAATCCCAGAGCTAGATCTCCTCACCTGAGAGGCTTGCCTATGATGAAAATATGATTACTTACCTTTCCTTCTTTCTTTCTTTTGTTTTTTGTATTGTTTTGTTTTTAGAGACAGGGTCTTACCCCATCACCAGGCTGGAGTGCCATAGTGTGATCAATGCTCACGGCAGCCTTCAACTCCCGGGCTCAAGTGAGCCTCCCACCTCAGCCTCCCTTGTAGCTGGGACTACAGGTATATGCCACTCCACCTGGCTGAGTTTTTTATTTTTTTTAGAGACAGGGCCTCACTCTGCTGCCCAGGCTGGAGTGCAGTGGTACAATCATAGTTCACTGCAGCCTCCAACCCCTGGTCTCAAATAAGCCTCCCACCTCAGCCTCCAAAACACTGGAATGACAGGCATAAGCCACTGTGCCCATCCAGCTTTGATGAAATACATTTCTGTCTGCTGAAGCCTCATGGCCCGTTTTAACAGAAGGACCAACCTTCAGCTTGACTTTTTTGAGACATTTTGGAGATTGGCAGGGCCTTGAAAACAAAAGTAAAGCCGAGAGCCACAGCTAAACCCACCGTTTCCGTGGTATTTGCAGGGCGACTGAAAGCAGTGCCCGCATACATTTTCCAAAGGCCAAGGGTGATATTATGACAGAGAGACACACGAGGGCGCCCTCACTGGCTCACAACAAGAGGAATGTGTAGAAACGAAAATCACGACCATTGCACGCTGGAAACCTCCAGTCCGTTCAGCCTCACTTTCACTACAAGCAGAGCACATAGTGTCACTTTAATTCGAAAGCACTTATGAGAGTTCAGCTATCCGAACAGCCTCATGAGTGGGAAAGGTAATCGCTAATACAGAAAGAGGCTAGATGCCAAGACCTTCGGAGTCCATTCATTTGTTTAAGGTGCGGGTATGGGGCATCTGCTGTGTGCCAGGCACGGGGAGAGCTTAGAAATACCATGTTGCGCAGAGCAAGATGGAGTCCTCTGGGCACCTGTGGTCATTTCTTTTTGCCTCGTTGTTTTTTTGAGTCAGGGTCTCACTCTGTTGCCTAGGCTGGAGTGCAAGTGGTACCATCACATCTCACCACAGCCTCCACTTCCCGGACTCAGGTAATCCTCCTGCCTCAGCCTCACAAATAGCTGGGACTATAGGTGTGCACCACTATACCTGGCTAAGTTTTAAAATTTTTTGTAGAGACAAGATCTTGCTATGTTGCCCAGGCTGGTCTTGAACTCCTGGACTCAAGCCATCCCCCTGTCTCAGCCTCCCAAAGCAGCCCATCCTCAATACATACATCTGGCCTCTCTGGGTTGAACTGATGGCATCTCCTAGCACTCCAGCTGTGACTGTGCCTCCCTCCTTCCCCCACACCCAACTCATCTTCCCTTTCCCAGAAACTGCAGGCAGTTGTTTCAGTGGAGCTTGAGGGCACTGTACACCTGCCTGTGCTGACCCTGGTCCTGCAGGCGGAACAAGGAAAGCTGTGGGCACAGGCAGAGGCGGCGCCATGTTGTCTGTCAGCAGGGCTGAGGGGCATGGGCTGGGCGTGCCGACGTGGCTGGGCTTGGCCCTCCCGCTGTGTGTTCTAGGGACCAGCGTCTCTCCCCACCCCCCACCTCTTGCCAGCTTGCCGGGCTGCACGGTGATGACTGACCTAAGGGACACCGAGGCACTGACCGGCTGCCCCACCCCTGAGAGGGTCCCTGATTCCTACTGAATCTCTCGGCATCCCTTGTGTGACAGCATCATTGGCGTCAGCTGCTTGGAAGATACGAGGCTGGGGACCATCATCACCGCCAGCACAGTGGGCAGCATAGTGAGATCCAACAACTCAGGTCAGAAGAAACACATTCACATCTAAGACTCCCCACCAGTGGGATACACACTGTCTCCACAGCAGGATCAAGCGTCTACACTGAAGATGAATCCCAAAAAGACTAGGAGTAAGTGCACTAAAACATGGACACAGACCAGCTCGAGGGAGTGGTGTTGGGGGTATTTTGTTTTCTTCTATGGCTTTTGTTGGTTTTGCTCTAAATTTCCACACTGAACATGGGGGTGTTTGGTGAGCGTATTAGCCGGGCATGTTGCCAGGCAGGACTGGATGAGAGTGGGGAGGTGACGAGGAGGGAGACTGCTTCCCAGACAGGGACGGCCGCCATTTTTTTTTTTTTTTTTTTTGAGTTGGAGTCTCACTCTGTTGCCCAGACTGGAGTGCAGTGGCCGCTCCCGGTCATCGCAGCCTCACCTTCTGGGTTCTGGCGATCCTTCTGCCTCAGCCTTCCGAGTAGCCGGAATTACAGGCAGGCGCTTCCACCCGGCTGATTTTTTTATTTATTGTAGAGATGAGGTCTCGCTGCCCAGGTGGGTCTTGAACCCGCGGGCTCAGGCAATCCACTCCCCTCAGCCTCCCAAAGGCACGGGATTACAGGCTGAGCCACCGAGCCCGGCTACGGCCGCCATTTTAAAATGGTGTCTGCATATTTAATAAGGTCCCCAATCGTCCCTGAAAGGTACCTATAGAAACCTAGAAGAAACTTAGTTTATTCTTAGTTTAGTCTTTTTGCCTCAGCATAACCATTAGAAAGCATTCAGACATTCTACTGCAGAACAAGCAGCAGCCTATCCTATGCCCCCTCGGCAAATCTCCATCAGATGCAAGGCCCCAACAGCCCAACTTTTCAATTCATGGTTTAGTATAATAATCTAGTAAACTTTTAGGTTCCTTGTCAAGGCCGAAGATCAAAGATCACCCTTTGGGCTGGTCAAAGTTATAAAAGTGATAATAAGACCAACTTTGGTCAAGGAGTTTGTAAATTACAAATGTCTGAGTTTGTGAATTGCAAATATCTAACAAGTCTCTCGCAGGAACTACACCCTCCCCCCCCCTTAACCTAATCAGCCCTTTGTGACCTACATGACATGAATAAACCCACCGTGGCAGCAATCATGTGCCTAATCCACCCATCTGCCTGCTGTCCATCGTCTGACATCAGTACCTGCGCTTGCCTGCCCCTTCGTGATGACGAGCAGCAGACCACCACCCAATCACCTTAATGATCTTCCCCCAACAAGGGGAATGGTTAAAAGGACTCAACCACAAGCAGTCAATGGCCATTGCTTTGCTAGACTCTGGTGTGGTCATGTGCTCTTTGAGCTATGGCTGCCACCATGCTCCCTGGCTTTGGCCCCCTCCCCCACCTTGGGGAGGTGAATCTTCTTTCTCCCTTCTCTCTTTCTAATTTACTTTTAAGTAAACTTTTTGGCTGGACTCGGTGGCTCAGCCTGTAATCCCGCGCTTTGGGAGGCTGAGGTGAGTGAATTGCCTGAGCCCACGGGTTCGAGACCCGCCTGGACAACTTGGCGAGACCTCATCTCTACAATAAATCAAAAATTAGCCGGGCGTGGTAGCGCGCGCCTGTAGTTCCAGCTACTTGGAAGGCTGAGGCAGAAGGATCGCCCGAGCCCAGCAGGTCGAGGCTGCGGTGGCTGGGAGCGGCTACTGCACTCTAGTCTGGGACACGGAGTGAGACTCCAACTCAAATAAATAAATAAATAAATAGATAAAAATAAAAAATAAATGTTTAAAAAAATAAACTTTTCTTTCTTAACCTCTTTGTGTGTTGCATTTCTTTGCATTACTTGGATCTCTGGGTTACTGGTGCTAAGCTGCCACTCCCCTCTCTCTCCTCACCCCTCCAGCACGCCGCCCTCACCCTATCCAGACCCTATCAGTCCCCTTCTGTACCATCTGGGTGGGGCACAGAATAGATGACTTTTATACTAAGCAGAGGAGTAGCAGGGGCGCCGGATTGCTTCTCTTTTGGGGATTCGGCAGGGTCAGGACCTGGCAGCCACAGTCTCACAAATTTGTAACCAACCTGGGTATTATATATCACATCTTGGAAAGGACAGCCCTCCTGGCCAGCCATGGTGGCTCACATCTACAATCCCAGCACATTGCGAGGCTGACGCAGGAGGATTACTCGAGCCCAGGAGTTCAAGATCAGCCTGGGCAACATAGTGAGACCCATCTCTACAAAAATAAAATAATTAGCCAGGTGTGGTGGTATATACCTGTAGTCCCAGGACTCAGGTGGCTAAGGAGGATAGTCTGAGCCCAGGAGACAGAGGCTGCAGTGAGCCGTGATCATGTAACTTCACTCCAGCCTGGGCAACAGTGAGACCCCTCCAAAAAAACACCAGTAAATTCGGGACATATGCCCACCACAGACACACTTGTAGGATAAGTACTCGTGGCTACATGTCCACAGTCTCCCACATGGCTGGTCTCCCAGGTGAATTTTCTCCTGAGGCGTCGCAATACCTTTCCCTCCGCAAACGTCCTTGCAGGCTGCCAACTCTCAACTCAGCTTAGGCTGCAAGGGAGGATGAATTATTAACTCTGCCATTAGGGTAGATGACAAACTGCAGTGGGTAGAAAATCTCCTGTAGGCGTGACGCACCCACTGCATAATAAAGTGGCTGAGAGGTCACCCACACATCACCTGTCTGCGCCAGGCTCCAAGGACAGGCTGAGGGAGGCGGGTTTATGGTGGTAAGAGGTGCTGGTATCATGACTGGACCTGTTTTTCCATCCTCGGGTCAACAGAGACTGCTGACCCCTGTGTTAACAAGCAGATGCAAGACTGATGGTGTCCACTTTGCGCCACTCACTGGGCGTGAGGACAGACCCCGCGGGCACTTCTGAGGGGATGGGCCTCTGGGGTCCCAGGAGCATAGGAGGGAACATGGGGTTTATAGTAGTGGACTTCATGCTGATCATGAAATCATTGTAGATTATTTTTTCCTTTTTTGAGTCAGAATCTCACTCTGTTGCCCAGGCTGGAGTGTAGTGGCACAATCACAACTCACCACAGCCTCCACCTCTTGGGCTCAGGAGATCCTTCCACCTCAGCCTCCTGAGTAACTGAGTCAACAGGCGTGCACCACCATGCCCAGCTAATTTTTAAAAATTTATTGTAGAGATGAAGTCTCATTATATTGCCCAAGCTGGTCTTGACCTCCTGGTCTCAGGCGACCCTCCCACCTCAACTTTCTAAGACTGGGACTATAGGCGTGAGTCACCTTGCCTGGCTAATTTCTTGATTTTTTTTGTAGAGACAATGTCTCACCATGTTGCCCAGGCTGGTCCCAAATTGCTGTGCTCAGGTGATCTTCCCACCTTAGCCTCCCACAGTGCTGAGATGACAAGCGTAGGTCACTGCGCCCAATCTTGAAATCACTATGAATGTATACTCCACCCTGCGGTTGGCTAAGTTCTCTCTCCTGCCTTCTGTCCTTGGCACTTACCACACTCCGTAACACAGGTCACATCTCCGTGCTCTTCTTTAAAAGGGCTGTTATAGCCGGGCTCGGTGGCTCAGCCTGTAATCCCAGCACTTTGGGAGGCCGAGGCGAGTGGATTGCCTGAGCCCGCGGGTGCGAGACCCGCCCAGGCAATTTGGCGAGACCTCGTCTCTACAATAAATCAAAAGAAAAAATTAGCTGGGTGTGGTAGCGCGCCCCTGAGGCGGAAGGATAGCCGGAGCCCAGCAGGTCGACGCTGGGGTGGCCGTGACCATGCCACAGCACTCCAGCCTGGGCAACGGAGTGAGACTCCAACTCAAAATAAATAAATAAATAAAATAAAATAAAAGGATTGTTACTTTTCCCCTCTGGTGGTCGTGGTGGATGCTTCAGAAAAGACATATAAGAGTGAAAAGATCCTGGAGTGACTGGGGCCGTCAGGACAAACTGCCAGCAGCAGGGGGCGCCTACCCTTGAAGCCACTTTCCCAGCCTGGATTGCACACGTTTGCCCCGCTTGACCAGGAGGCGCCTTCCTCTCTTGAATAAACACTTTGGGAGCATCTCCCCAGGCCATTCGACAGCCGCCTGGCGCATCCTTGCAATGTTTGTGCAGGACTCCATTTGGGAATGTTCCACTAGTTTGTAAATATCCTGTTATTCAGCCCCATAAACACTCTGGGTGACCACCAGGACTGGGATTACCCTCCTGGAATACAGGGGCCTGGAAGTTACAGTGATAGGCAGTTCCCGTGGAACAGGGTTGTCTAAGCGCAAGTGGCTCCAGACCAGAGGGTCCCGGTCCCCTCCCGCACCCGAACCACCCTCCATTCTCCACGTAGGGAAGCGGAGGTGCAGAGAGGTCAAGGGATGAGGCAGCGTCACACAGCTTCCAGACGTCAGCACCTGGACGGAAGTGTCCAGATTCGGAACCTGTGCCTGTTCCTGCTACAGGGCTCCAAGCCCTGCATGTCCCAGGCTTTCCCCACCCCGTGGGGCCAGAGGTCCCTGTGTTTCTCTCTCATCGCTGACTGCAGCCACAGTGGGAGAGGGAGTCCTGAGTCACCCACTGCCTCCACATGGCGCCATCTTGTTTGGGGTGACCTGAGTGGGGGCCAGGGCTGGACAGTGTATCAGGAGTGAGCCCAGCTCGGCAGCCCCAGGGGCGTCTATAACTGCTGTCCCATCCTGTCTTCTGGGCCCACCTGCATCCACCTGCAGTTGCAGGGGTGATCCCAGCACCACAGCACCCACGGGGGTACAGTCTCTCTGTCCTCTGGGAGGCTGGGGTGGGAGGATCGCTTGAACCCAGGAGCTCCAGACCAGCCTGGGCAACACAGTGAGAGTTCTCTACAAAAAAATGTTTTTAAAATTTAGCTGGGCATGATGGTATGCACATGTAGTCTCAGTTACTCAGGAGGCTAGGATGGGAGGTTATTTGAGGTTCAAGGTTACAGTGAACCATGATCCCACCACTGCACTCTAGCCTGGGCAGCAGACAAGATCTCACTCTGTCACCCAGACCGGAGGGCAGTGGCATGATCATGGCTCACCACAGCCTCAACTTCCTGTGCTTAGGCGATCCTCCCACCCTAGCCTCCCAACATGCTGGAATGACAGGTGTGAGCCACTAAACCTGGTCTAAGTTGTTTTTGATACAAAATAAAAATAGCTACTGCATGTTATGATTTTCTTTTATGTTTTATTTTTTGTGATTCCAGGCCAGCAGGGGATCCGGTTCCTGCTCTGTGAGGAGGAGCTGCTGAAGGTCGTTCTGTCCTGTCCTGTCCTACGCCCGCTCCAAGCTGGTCACCATGGGCTTCCCCATGCACATCCAACACGAGCCTCCAGAGGAGACAGACGGCCCACTGGGAGCCCTGGCCCTGGGCGCCTTCCCACAGACCATGGCAAGGAGGTCTCCCTGGTGGCCGACCAGAGGGCGTTGGGCTTGCACCAGAGACTCCTGGAAGACGCTGTTGAGCAAAGTGAGCGGTGAGGCTTGGGCCACGACCCCTCATGGGCCTCTGTGAGAAGGCTGGAGGGAGCCCCTAGACGCAGGGCTGCACACCTCACCCTGTACCCTCTCTAGGCTCAGCTGCTGGACTCTGTTTCACAGATGAAGAGACTGAAACTCTGAGGGGCTGTGTGATTTCCCCAGCAGGAAAGGTGAGCTGGGATTTAAACCTGGGTCCACCAGGCTCCCAGCATGGCATCCTTTCCCACAACTACCGCCTGCTGGGTGGGGAGCAAGAGTCTCAGCAACCCAGGGTGGCCCTGGACCACATCAGGGAGTCGGGGAGGGGACACGAACAATGGGGTAGAAAGGCTCAGGCCACAGAGTCCACCCGGCTCCGAGGGGCAGGGGTGTTCCTGGAGCTCCAGGCAGGCGTTAGAACCCCGGGTGTCTGAGACTAAGGCCACGAACTACTGAGTGTGATGGTAAGAGCGGCCTTGGACTTGGGGGAACAACTGCTCCCACCTCACTTCCGTCCAACCTGTTTCCCGCTGCCCGTCTCTCTGTGTCACTTGGATGCATTCTGCAAAGCAGTATTTTTTTTTAGCACTTTAAAGTGGCTTCAGCCCCAGTAAGTCACGCCCGAAAGCACTCATTATGTGGGAAACTGAAACGCCTGTGTCTAGGCCAGGCGTGGTGGCTCATGCTTGTCACCCTAGCACTTTGGGAGACCAAGGCAGGAGGATCGCTTGAGCCCAGGAGTTCAAGAGTAGCCTGGGCAATTTAGTGAGACCTCGTCTCTACAAAAAAATCAAAAGGTGTGTGGTGGTGCGTGCTACTCGGGAGGTTGAGGCAGGAGGATCGCCTGAGCCCAGGGGGTCAAGGCTGTGTTTAGCCGTGATTGTGCCACTGCATTCCAGCCTAGGCAGTGGAGTGAGACCCTGACTCAAAAAAAAAAAAAAGTCCAGGTTTGACATTCACACCCTCATGATACAGGGATCTACTAATGTCCCTCCATATTATCACAACCCTTAGAGAAGGGCATGGCAAGGGTTCAAGCACTCCTGCACGTTCCTAAGCACATTACTGAGAGTCCCCTGGTCTTCTATGCATTTTCAGTAAGAAACTTGAGGGATCCTTGACTTTCCTGCAGTCTACACCCAGATGTAAATCCCTATTACTCCTTCTTTTGAACTATATAGTGTCAAGGGAATCATAAGTCTTGTGATTTGCATAGATTTGCAACACACGATGTCTTAGACCTTGTAAACTATACTTTAAATGTCACTATCAAAATGTAAAATGCAGCTGGAACTTAAGTTTCATGCAATACTCTGCGGATCATGTGGCTAATGTATAGGTACCGATAACTCTGGACTATAAAAGTGGACTGTAAAAGCCTGGAGGGTAAGCAGAATCATTTTGGAAAGACCTCAAGTCCGGCTCTGCTCCCTGAATTTGAACTCAGAAATAAACTTCTTTCTACCAGTTCCCTGTCCCTTGATTTATCGGTATCAAGGGTGAGCAGCTGAGTGTTACTCAGACCATAACAATAGGGGGATTATAAAACGGCACAGATGGACTGAAAAACAGCATGGCAGCAGGTAAAAGAATGAAAAAATGAAAATCCCGTGTGATCCTGTGACTCCGCTTCTGGTGCAAATCCTCAGAGCAACAGCAGGTTCCTGAGAGGCCTCTGTCCACCCACGCTTGAGGCATTCTTATTTAGAGGTAGCCGGAAGCAGGTGTCCATCGATGGATGGGGGAATCACAATGTCTACACACATGGGGAACAGGATTCGTCCTGAAAAGGCAGGAATTCCGACTGTGCTGCAACACACACGAACGATATGAAGTGGATTAAGCCAGTCACGTGGCACGACCAGCTCCTGGGAGGTCCCTACAGCTGTCAAGGCCACGGGGACAGGAAGTAGGTGGGAGCTGCTGGGGCCAAGGGGTGAGGGGAGCCGGTGTCTAACCGGCACAGGGGTTCCATTGCGAAGATGAGAATGTTCTGGAGCTGATGGCGGTGATGGTCACATGACGGTGTGGACACACTTGATGCCACTGAGTGTGCTGATGACAATGGCTAGACTGGCAAGCTTTACATGGTGTGTCGTTTCCAAGGTCTTTTTGCCTTTCGTGGACGTTATTTTTTCACTTGTCTGGAGAAGGCTAAAGGAGCCATGGTCTTTTTTTAGAGAGCACAGGTGTGGGGCATTAGGTGTGAGCAGTTTGTCTGTGGAGAAGTCAGGCAGGCGGTGGGTCGTGTCTGGGAGGAGGATGGACATAGGGCCATGGGCATGTGGGCATCCTCTCGAGCTGGGACGCAAGTGGCATCCTCGGGAGATGAGAGGGGACAGCAAAGGACCCAGGATCGCCTCCAGATTTCCGCAGTTAAGAGGATGAGAAGGAGGGCCGCCCAGGAGGAAAGTGAGGTGAAGTATGGAGGCCCAGGGACCACGTGGCTTCAGCACAAAGTATTCAGGAGGAGGCTGACCAGCCATGATGCACACCCTCTTGGGTGACAGGCGTTCCCTCTGGAGGGTCTTCTTAACTGTTCTTCCCACAAGGACTCACCCAGGGCCAGGTCTACACAGCTCAGGGACTCACCCAGGCCAGGTCTACACAGCTCAGGGACTCACCCAGGCCAGGTCTACATAGCTCAGGGACTCACCCGGGGCCGGGTCTACACAGCTCAGGGACTCACCAGGGGTCGAGTCGACAGCTCAGGAGCTTGCCCAGGGCTGGGTTACACAGCTCTAGAACTCACCAGGGACTGAGTCTACATAGCTCGGAGACTTGCCCGGGGCTGGGTCTACACAGCTTGTGGACTCACTAGGGCTGGGTCTATATAGCTCAGAGACTCGCCTAAGGTCAGGTCTACACAGCTCAGAGACTTGCCCGAGGCCGTGTCTACATAGCTTGGCAATCATCCGGAGCACGTCCTACCACCTGGGACTCTGAGGCTGAACTCCCCAGAGTTCTCCTGTTACACCTGGACACGAAGACAGTCAGAGCCATTTGGCCTCTTGATGAAAATCATTTCAGTCCTTTTATAAGTGATGCCCGGGAAAGTCTTACAGAGCAAAGGCAGAGCCATTTCCTCCCCATCTTGAGCATCAACCCACCAAGACGTGTAGAGTCCCCACGTAGTCCACAACGATATGAATTGTGTTTGGGACAAGAAGACCTGCTGTAGCTAAGCGTCAAATTCACCATCTACAAAATTCTACAAGAAAGGGATTGGCAGTAGCAGGACACTGAGGGGCAGAGGGGGCACATAACATCAATAGGGGTGCCTGATCCCAAACCAGGCGAAGGGAGGTCCAATGGGAGGCCCAAACTTTACCTGCACGTAAGCCACCTAGATACCCAATCCTGACTTGTACCCCTCATCTTTAAAATAAAATAAAAATAAAAAGAGTCAAATTCAACTTGGAAATCACTCCAGCATGAGAGCTGGCCCCTGGCTCCGATTCTGGGAGGTTCCCTCAGTTTTATTTTCATTTTTTTTTTTAGAGATGGGGTCTTGCTATGCTGCCCAGCCTGGAGTACAGTGGCACAATCACAACTAACCACAGCCTCAACTGCCTGAGCTCAGAAGATCCTCCCACCTCAGCCTCCTGAGTAGCTGGAACTACAGGAGGGTGTCACCGCACCCTGCTAAATTTTTTTTATTTTTGAAGACATGAGGTCTCACTACGTTGCTCAGGCTGGTCTCAAACCCCTGGGCTCAGGCAATCCTGCCCCTCAGCCTCCCACAGTGCTGCAAGACAGGCGTGAGTCACCATGCCTGGCCAGGTTGTCCTATTTTTTTTTTTTTTTTTTTTTAGTTGGTGTCTCATTCTGTGACCCAGGCTGCAGTGCGATGGCACACTCATGCCACCGCAACCTCAACCTGCTGGGCTCAGGCGATCCTTCCTCCTTAGCCTTCCAAGTAACTGGAACTACAGGTGCGTGCTACCATGCCTGGCTAAGTTTTGATTTATTGTAGAGACAAGGTGCTCAGGGTGGTCTCAAACTCCTGAGCTCAGACAATCCTCTCACCTTGGCCTCCCAAAGTGCTGGGATTACAGGCTTGAGCCACCACGCCCAGCTCTATTTTTAATTTTTGAGGAAACACCATAGTGTTTTCCACAGCTGAGTTGAAACTCAGAAGCACACCATCGTGGGCTGAGGGAGATTTAAAAGTGCAATTTGATGTTCTTAAACTGGATTATGGAAGCAGTCTTCCTACCTATAGTAATGACACTCCAGGAGGCTTGAGGCCAAGCACCTTGTGTGCAGTCCATCATGACATGGGTGCCGGATGCCGTGGCTCTGCCCCATTGCAGAGGCAGAAAGTGGAGGTTAGAAATGTCATATGACTCACTCAGGTCAGTGGGGAAAACTCACCTCGGACGCAGATGATCAGATGCCACCACCCACATCTGACCACCTGCCGCCTGTGCCTCGTGTTTCTCTATCTTCTTCTACCTAAAAAAGTGTGTCTGGTTTTCTGTTTCAAATCCTTTCATCTGTTTCGTGTCTGTAAACTGAGAAAGATTCTGGAAAATCAGCTGGCCAAGGGCAGGCAGCACTCACAGTCCTGGGGCTGGCTACTCAGCTGCCTGAAGGGACCAGGTGGGTGCCAACACTGTTCCCTCATCTACCACAGCAGCCCTGACTGGGGCCTCCCTGCTCACAGCCTCTCACCCTAATAAAGAACTTGGTGGCCGTGAGGCACACAGGTGGGGCCACCAGTGGCAATGACCACAGCTCGAGGAAGGTGAGCACTAAGCACCTATTGACCTGTCCACGACCTCTTTCTTGCCACGAACAAGATTCCTGGAATCACTCGGCTGGTGAGTGAGGAGCCTGCAGGAACCCCAAGGATGCAACAGGATGTGTCACCACTGGTGTCTCTTAATAGACTGTTGAACACATGACTGGAAAGAGTTACGCGGGGACCCCGTTGTCCACTCCAAAGACCGTCTCTGTGTATTAGACAGTGATGCTGCTATTTAGAAATCCAACATCCCCAGCCCAAATTTCACCTGTATGTTGACCACTTATCTATCTGATCCTGAATTGTACCCTACATCTTAAAAAAGAAAGAAATTTGACATCCCCACAGGCAAGGACGGGAAATGACTTTTTTTTTTGAGTAGGGGGTCTCACTCTGTCTCCCAGGCTGGAGTGCAGTAGCACACTCATAGCCACCGCAGCCTTGACTTGCTGGGCTCAGGCAATCTTTCTGCCTCAGCCTCCCAAGTAGCTGGAACCACAGGCGTGCAACACCACATCCAGCTAATTTTTTTATTTATTGTGGGGACGAGGTCTTACCATGTTGCCCAGGCTGGTCTCGAACCCATGGACTCTGGCAATTCTCTCGCCTCAACCTCAGTGCTGGGATTACACAGGCATGAGACAGGCATGAGCCACTACGTCTGACTTGGGAAATGACATTTAACCCAGCATCTTTTTTTTTTGAGTCAGGGTCTCACTCTCACCCTGGCTGGAGTGCAGTGGTACAATCATGGCTCACCGTAGCCTCGACCTCCGGGGCTCAGGCACTCCTGAGTAGCTGGGACTACAGGCACGTGTCACCATGCCTGAATAATTTTTTTATTTTTTGTACAGACGAGGTCTCACTATATTGTCCAGACTGCTCTTGAACTCCTGGGCTTAAGTGATCCTCCCACCTGGGCCTCTTAAATTTCTGGGATTACTGGCGTGAACCACCATGCCTGGCCAGCCAAGCACCTGACTCTAAGGTGATAACAGGAATAATAAAATTATATCAGTAATAAAATTGAGGCCCAGCATGTCATTCTGGTCAGGTAGGGTGATGGTGCCATGTATACCATAAAATGTGTTGGCTATACATCTCGCACATGTGATGAGTGTAGTATGTCAACTGTTAATAATAATAATGTGATCATGCTGTGTTTGCACAGAACTTGGAGATAATCTGAGAGGTCTCACAGTGTTTCTGAAGCCTCTTTAAAATCCTGCGAGGCAGGTAAGGCCCAGGGAGAGTTCCCCAGGGTTGCCTGCCTAGGGAAGTTGCTGGTAGCCCAGGAGCAGGTTCAGACCCCAGGCCTAGACGTCACGCCCATGTGACTTCTGGAAGGCTCAGTGTAGCCCAAGGGGAACCTGCACCCTTCCCTCGGGGCCCTGGCCCCAGTAATCAAGGCCTGTCTTTCTCCTTTCCAGCAGTCAGAGTGTTTCCTGGACTCCTTGGTCCCCTCGGCCTTTGAGGTTTTGAGGAGATGAAAGTCTTCTGGGCTGAGGAGAAGTTTTCTGCGAATCACTGGCCTTTCCCAGAAGAGGCTGTGGGTGTGGCGCCTGTGGTATGGGCTGCCCGCCAGCTTCCTGTCCCTCGGCTGGGCCTAATAGGACTAGGTGCCTGTGGGGAGGGGTCCAGGCCCTCAACCCCCATGTGCAGGAAAGGTTGTTGAGACCACCATCTTTTGGAGTGAACTCCCTGGCCCTCTCGTCTACGGAATCTGCCAGAAATACCTGGACACGGGGCCACACAGTGCCCCTGAGGTCTGGAGCCCTGCCCCACAGGGCACAGGCGAAGGGCTGACTGCTGTTTCAACGTCTGTTTGTACAAGGGTGCGGTGCCAAGCCACGGATCTCCAGCACCCTTGGGCTCACCAAGGGATTAAATTGCTTCTAATGTGTTTGTTCCCGCTCTCACTGATTATGCTAATTAACAAACCCCTGGTGCTGATGACCAGACGGTGTCTAGACTGGGTCACGCCCACACCCTGGGGTGTTCCTAACTTGAACTGTTTTTTAACTAAAGAAGTTTCTAAGCCGTAGCTCACATCTGTCATCTCAGCACTTTGGGAGGCCAAGGCAGGTAGATTGCTTGAGCCTAGGAGTTCAAGACTGGCCTGGACAATATAGCAAGACCCCTATTTCTACAAAAAATAGAAAATGTTAACCGGGCACAATGTCATACACCTGTAGTCCCAACTACTTGGGAGGCTGAGGCGAGAGGATCGCCTGAGCCCAGGAAGCTGAGGCTGTGGTGACCTGTGTTCGTGCCACTGTGAGACTTCAACTAAAAAAAAAAAAAAGTTTCTAGAAGGCCCAAAGTTTGGTTGTCTGAAAATCACCCTCATTCCCTTGCATGTGAGGGGCATGGCCTCCGCTGTAACCTACCCTGTGTTGCCCTGAGCCTCTGCCCTGACTCAGACCCTCCCTTCAGGAGTCAGTGACCGAGGCAAGGATCTTGGGATGGGCAAAGTCCAAGAGGCTGTGAGGAGGCACATTCGGAACGGGCCATCATCACCTGTGACGTGGAGGCTGACTGCTGTTGTTGCTGGTGAAGACTCAGATGGCTGCCTGGTCAGGCCAGGGACCTGCCTGGAGCCTGTGCAGGTTTTCTCTTCTGCAAGTAGTCAAGAGGGCACCGGGGCAGGGAGGGGAGTGTGGTTTGCAGCCTCTGACCTCTCATCAGTCATTGAACAAATATTTACTCTGTGCCAGGCATTGTTCTGAGCACTGGGGTTGCAGCCTCAGTGACCCAGCTTCACAGACCTCCCATTCTAGGACTGGGAGACAGACAGTGAGCCCTGGCAAACACATACACAGATGGGTCCAAACAGTGATAAGAAGTTGGGTCAGTGGCTCATGCCTGTAATCCCAGCACTTTGGGAGGCCAAAACAGGAGGATTGCTTGAGGCCAGGAACTTGAGACCAGCCTGGGCAACATAGCAAGACTCCATCTTCAAAAAATTAAAATTAAAAAATAGCTAGAAGTGGTGGCACCTGTAGTCCTGGCTACTCGGGAGGCTGAGACAGGAGGCTCACTTAAACACAGAAGTTTGAGACCAGCCTGGGCAACATAGCAAGACTTCATCTCTGCAAAAAAATTTAAAAATTAGCCTGGTGTGGTGGCATGCACCTGTAGTCCCAGCACTTAGAAGCTGAGACGGGAGAATAGCTCAAGCCCATTTGAGGCCAGCCTGGCAACATAGTGAGACCTCATCTCTACAACAAATTAGCCAGGTGTGGTGGTGCATGCCTGTAGTCCCAGCTACCCAGGAGGCTGAAGTGGGAGGATCACCTGAGCCCAGGAGGTCAAGGCTGCAGTGAGCTGTGATTGTGCCCCTGTACTCCAGCCTGGGTTACAGAGTGAGACCCTGACTAAAAATTAAAAAAGAAATAGAGAAACTATTTCACTGGAGCCTGACCAGCCTGGGGAAGGAGAACACACATCCCCAACTCCAAAAGAGGAACAAAAGTGAAAATTACTCCTGACTCCAGAAACCCACACACAAGAAGAGAGGGGAGTAAGATGCTAAAGGCGTGGAGAGGTAAAGACTCCCTTCAAAGGTGAGGGAGAAATGAAGACTTTCTCAGAAATGGAGGGAATTCACGGCCAACAGAATTGCCTCACAAGAAATGTTCAAAGAAGTTCTTGAGAGAGGAGAATTATGAAGGCCAGAAACTCCAATCTACATAAGGAAGAATGTCAAGGAATAAAATATATGAAGATAACATAAAAAATTCATATTTCCTTTTTAAGATTTTTTTATTTATCTCATTATCGTAGACAGGGTCTTGCTCTGTCAGCCAGGCTGGAGTACTGTGGCGCCCACTGCAGCCTCTAACTCCTGGGCTCAAGAGATCCTCCTATCTCAGGCTACTGAGTAGCTAGGGCTACAGGTGTGTACCACCACACCTTGCTTTTTTTTTTTAACTGTTTTTGGAGACAGGATCTTGTTATGTTGTCGAAACTGGTCTCAAACGCCTGGTCTCAAGTGATCCTCCTTGGCACCCCAAACTGGATGACAGAGTGAGACCTTATCTCTAAAGAAAAAAGAAGAAGAAGAAAGTACAGCTTGCCCCTTCTCTCACCTCTCCTGCTGATTTTTTGATTAGGTCTGGGTGGGGCCAAAGAGTCTGTGTTTCTAAGGGGATGCTGGTTCCCTGGTCCAGGGACCTTTCCTGGAGATGTTCCTGCCTGGAGGCCAAATGATGGACACACAGCCTCCCAACCCTAGGACAGAATCTTCTTTGTTGATCTAGGTGTTTCCATTGGCGAGGCTTCGCCCTGGCCTGCATGCTGTACCTCCTGGGTGCATGTGAGACCCAGAGCTGTTACCTGAAGGTGGTTGGGCCCTCCAGAACCCCTGATCGGCACTGGACTCAGGCCTTCCTGTTAGTCATGAAGGTAGCACACCCACAGACCGCCACAAGAAGTAACTGTTTCCCAGGGTGAGCAGTGGACCTGGTATTCCAAATCACAGCCAGAGGCTGGCACCAGACTATCTGTCAACAGCCAGGGCAGGGCTAGCCTGGAAGTAAAGTTCTCCTGGTTGACTTGGGTGACCTCTGGCCTACTCGAGATCCTGAGTGCTGTGGAGAGCATAGTATACATGGCTGTTTTCCTTCCAGTTGGGCCTTAGGTGGGTCGACTTACCACTCTGAGCCTCATTTTCTCCCTGTCAACTGGGGGCAATCAGCATTGCTGTGGGAGGAGCAAACTGCCCGACCCACGGTGGGCATCGGTAGTGACAGTTGAGTGTCCTTATTGTCCACCTCCAAGGAGTTCATCACCCAGGAAGGTACTGAGAGCTCTGGGATGAGACAATTATCACCCTAAGCACTGAGGGAGACAGGCGGGGTGCAGAGGAGAGTCTGTGGACAGAGAGTGGACGTAATAAACTGGATCGAAGTAGAAGAGCCTCGACAGGAGAGATGATGAGATCTGTTGACAAGATGCCAGCTCTGTAAGACGGCTTGTTCTGAGCCAAATGTGAGTGGCCTGGGCCCTTGACCCTGTCCCCAGGGATTCTGAGAGCATATGCCCACCATGCTGAATTGCAGCTTGATTATACACAATTTAGGAAGATGGAATTTCAGGAAACCATAGATCAACACATATGGGATTTGCATGGTTCGGCTTTGGGGAACATCTCCAAGGCAGGGCTTGCGAATGGATCCAGAGATTCCCTGACTGGCCATTAGTAGCAAGAGCTGCCAAGGAATTTTGAAAGCAGTGAAGGAAATGGGTGGCTTGAGGAACAATGGGGAAGTCGTTTCTCACATGTTTATGAAGTGGGTGACATGGGTGACAGACATCACAGATCACGTGAGTATCTCACAAGGTGTCCAGAGTCCCAAGTGATGGCTTCACAGGGTCTTAAGATACTTGAATTGTCCTTCTTTATCTGTGATGTGATGTGATTCCAGAGTCAAGTTGAAAAGTGAACATTGTACAGAGCTCATTACAAACCCGTTTTCCCGAGTCCCTGAGTTAGGATTAAGCTCCGTGAGGAAGGCCAGGTGTGGAGTCCTCAGAGAGAAGACTGGAAGATTGGAATCGCCTGGCACTGGTTTCAGGGAGGCGCTAGAGAGCAGGAGGCTGGGGTGGTTAGGGTCAAGGGGGGATGTCTGACCCCCAGACCCCCAAGGAGGGCTATGTGTCCTGAAGCAGTTTGTAGAATTATTCCTGGGCGTGCATTTTTGTGACAGGTATCCGTGGTTTCCTCCAATTTTCCAAGTAGTCGGGGGCTCCTAAGAATCCTGGGAGAGGCAGGTCGTGTCTGCTGGATCCAGGAAAGCCAAGACTTTGTCCCTGAGGATTCTCCCTGGGAGGCAATAGGGAGCCACTGAGGACTTGGGGTTGGGGGCAGCCCCACCAGGCAGCTTCCATCCAAGCTCGACTATGAAGTACTGCATGCAGTGCCAGCCTTGCCCATATCCCGTGCAAGGGGAGGGCACTGATGTGTGAATGTCTACCTTGTAGGAATGGTTACAAGTGTGGAAAGAGTGCAGAAGAGGTGGCCACCCCCAGGGCCCAGCCAGCGGGATGGGTGGCAGGACTGGCTCTCCCTACCATGGGCCTCAGTTTCCAAGCTCTAAATGGAGCAGGCCCCGCCCCCAACATCAATTCCAGACACCAGCCTGGGCTTCTCAGGAGAGGGGACACAGGTGAGGTGCTTCCAGCAGGGCATCTGTTTGGGGGATTTCCCAAGGGAACTCACACCGTGGGAAGTGGGGCCAGAGCTCTGATCTGACATCTACGTCCTGGGGCAGGTGTGACCTCACCTTGAGCAGACTGTAGAGCTGGGAATGGGGGCTGGTGGTCAGGGCTATAGAGGCCTGGTCTGGGCAACGAGTGGATAGTCTGAGTCCGAGATGGGTGGGCACTGCTCAAGTTCCCCAGGCCTGGAGGGCAGAGGCCCTGAGCCCGCCAGCATCCACACCCCTGGCCCCTCACTGCCTCTGACCTGTCCTTTCTGTTGCCTTGTACCCCGCCTGCTCCCTTTTCCCTTCTCCCTGCCTTCCCCCTCTGTCTCTCCATCTCCTCATACTTTCTGCCCTGGCCTCTGTTTCTCTCACCACCTGCACTGGTGGCTGGCATTGGCCCCTTTCACAGATGAGGAAGCCTGGCTCTGACAGGTGCGGTGGCTTGCCTGAGACCCCTGGTTGCGAGAAGGCTGAGCCCTGAGCCTGGCCAGGGCTTTCTGACTTTGCACTTACCGACATGGCTGGTCTGTTTCCCGGTAATGCCAGGATGCCTTGGGGGTGGGGAGCTGGGCAGCTGCAGTGACACATCCAGAGGAAATGGCCTGCCCGAGGGGCCCAGGAGCCTCTGTGCTCCATGTCCTTCCTGGATCTAAACTGAGAAAGCTCACGCAGGGGCGGTCCACATGTATGACTCACATGGACACAGAAGCCAAGCTGGCTCACACGGCCCTACATGCCCCTCCAGAGGTGGAAGCTCTGCCTGGCATCTCTCCCTGGTCCCTCCTAGTTAGGTGACCAATGCACCGCCCTTACAAAGAAATACAACGGGATGTTTCTGAGCAGATGCACAAACACGTGTCTGTGGAGACCCAGGCTTGCTCTGGGGGACAACGGGGGGTCAGACAGACCCTTGGGGAGAGGACTCAGGGTTCGCTGGGGGACAACACATGATGGATCATTTCAGGGACCGGGAGGGATGAGTGCATGGCAAGTTGCTGTGGGACACAGACATCAGCAGGTAGCTCACAGGGATCAGGGGAGCCTGCCTGGAGGAGGTGGCATGGAGCCGTGTCTTGAAGGGTGAGCAGAATAGAGTTAACCAAGAAAGGAGGGTGGGGAGGGCCTTCCAGGTAGCAGGGCTCACACAAGCAAGGTGCAGAGACACAAGGCAGTGCCATGTGCAGGTGTGACACCTGGATTCGTCCCACGAGAGCTCTGCGGGTCACAAAGTGGGGTCCCTGAATTGACCAGTGGTGCTGGGCAGAGCTGTGACCTGAGCTGGTGCAGAGTCTCACTGTAGGGACACAGACAGGTCTCTCATTCCTACGCAGCAAGTGGTCTGAAGGAAGGCCTTCTGTATGCACGACAGGAGTTTGCAAGGGTCCGATCATGACTGTGGCAGGAGGATCCTGTGCTGAGGATCCCAGGGAAGCGGATGCCTCTCTGCAGGGCATACCCTGCCCACTCCAGCCCCTGGCACCAAATTCCTCAGAACAAGGGACAAGTGGTGGCCTCGGGCTTCACCTGGGGGTGACCACTCCCCAGAGCTCACCAGGACAGATGAGTCACCTTATAGGCACCACAGTAGTACTGCAAGGTCAGGTGCAGGAGGGCCCAGAGTAGAGCTGGAGGGCTGGGTCTGCCTCAGCTTTGGGCCACGGCACTGCAGTGGGGCAGGTGACAGAGCTCTGAGTGGGGCTGGGGGTTATACAGGCTGAAGACTTCCATGGAGGAGGCCCAAAGAACCACTCACTGAGCCGTCTTCCCCCAAGCTCGGCAGGCCTCAGACAGGAGCCAAAGGTCAGCTCTCCTAGAGGCTGGTCTGGGTTTGGACCATGTTCTCAGTACTTTGATGGTTTGTGGACATGCCTCTGTTTCCTAGGACCAAGGCCTTTGTGAAAACGTCCAGCCTGCCTTGGGCGAGTGAAGTTGGTGGCCAGGAAGAGCATGGGCCAGAGCCAGACTGCTGGCTCAAGGTCCAGCTTCACCCACTGCAGCCTGAACAGGACTCTGACCTTGGGTGTCCTCAAGTAAGGTGGGCATGATAATAAATCTACCTTGTGGGTTATAGTGGAGGTTAAATGAGTCCCTTAGTTTTTTGGTCCCTAAAGCATAGTGTCTGTCATGCAGCAAGTGTTTGATAAATGCTAGCCATTATCACCATCACACTAACCATCACCCACACCACCACCATCATCACCACCATCATATCGTTATTGCCATCATCACCACATCTCATCACCATCATCGCCGCCATCATCACCACCATCACTACCATCATCACCATCACCATCGTTATCACTCTCATCCTCGTCATCGTCACCATCGTTATCACTGTCATCCTCCTCATCGTCACCATCACCACCATTACCATCATTATCACCATCCTTATTGTCATGAAAAGGTCTTTTCTCCACTTCAGTCAGGCCAAGGCAGGTGTCAGGGTGGCTCTGAGCTAAGCCTGGTGGTGGCAGCAGATGGCCTATGCCGAGAAGGACCCGGGCAGCCAGAGTGGATGGAAACGAAGGCCAGGAGGCAGTTGACTCAGTAAGCTTGGGTCGACAGAGCAGGAGTCCCAGGCACTGTGTGGCATCACATGGGACTGTCTGTCCTTTATGTGCCCAGGATTGAGCTGTTTCTCCAATTGCTGCTCTATCAGGCTAATCCAACCAGCTGGTTTTCCCTGCCTCTCTCAAGGTGGGGCCACACGACAGCAGGCCAAGCCCTCCTCCACCAGCAGCCTCCCCACCACGCTCCCACCAGCCCTGACATTGCCCAGCCTGTGCCAGAGACTAGGGCCAGGAAGTTCCTAGGCTTCCAGACCCTGCCTCACCATCCCTACCCCTCAGGTGCCAGTCCTTTGCCAGAGAGCACAAGGAGGAGGCACTGCCCAGGAGGAGTGAGCCACTTCCAGGAGGCAGCTCTGGGCAGGACAAAGCAGGCCAAGAAGAAATGGGCTAGTGGTATCGTCAGTGTCCTGGACTTCCCCACCTCAGCCCAGAGGCTAAGGAACAGGAACCCAGAAGCTGGAACCCAGCACATGGGACTGGAGGGGCCGCTGAGGGCTCTGGCCAGGTTCTTCTGCTCCATCCATGATCCAGGGTGAGTCTTCCCACATGGGATGGAAAAACAGAAGAGGGCTCCTATAGTTACATGTCCAGTGGCATGGAGAGGGGAGTCAAAAAGCAAGGGCTGTTAGAGGAACAAATGATGACTTATGTGTCCCTGCTTTAGGGCCTGGCCCAGGGAAGGCACTCAGGAGAATGTTGGGTGGAGGGCTGATGGATAGGTGAATGGATAGATGGATGAATGATGGGTGAATGGGTGGATGGATGGGTGGGTGGATGGAAGGATGGGTGAATGGGTAGATAGGTGGGTGGTTGGGTGGATAGATGCATGGATGGATGGATAAATTGTGAGAAATGAACTCACCCATCCAAAATCAAAAGTTGGGCATAGAGATGTGGAGTGCAGCAGAAGTGAGACTTTCATGATGATCTTGCAAGATCAGGTGTCTGGTGTGCAGGCACACCCAAGATGGTTACAACAAGCTTTTTTATTTTCTAGTGTGCAAACACCTTTCCTGGTTCCTCATTGACTGAATAATACAGAGGTTACAATTTTTCCTCATCATTGCCTAAGCAGTTTTTGGTCCAAATAAGGGCAAAATAAGTACATGTTGCTATTTGGTTGGAAGGTTTCAGTTTTCTTATTTCTAAGTAAGTTTTATTTCTCCAAGATGTGACAATTACTACACCTCCCTCTGTTTTGTCTTTTGGTCACATCAGCAAACCTTTCTCCATTTTCTGGAAATGAATAATTTATTATCCTTCACAGGATGGATGAATGAATGATAAGCGGGTGGATAAATGGATGGGTGGATGAACAGATGAATGGATGGATGGATGGGAGGATAAATGAGTGGATGAATGGGTGGATGGATAGGATGGATGGATGAATAAGTGGGGGAAGGATGGGTGAGTATATGTGATGGGTGAATGAGTGGGTGGATGGATGGATGGATGGTTGGGTGGGTGGAGGCGTGGGTGTATGGATAGGTGGATGGATGGATGGATGATGGGGTGGATAAATGGATGGGTGAGAGGGTGGATGGATGGATGGGTGGATAAATGGGTGGATGGATGGGTAGATAGATAGGATGTATGTATGAATGTATGGATGGATGAATGAATGGGTGAATGGATGGGTGGATGGTGGGATGGGTGGATGGATGAATGATGGATATGGGTGAGTGGATGGATGGTGAGTGGATGGATGCGTGGGTGGGTGGGTGAATGGAGAGATGATGCATGGGTGGGTGGGTAGATGGAGGGATGGGTGGATGGGTGAATGGATGGATAAATGGTTGTGGGGATGGGGGGGTGGGTAGATGGAGGGATGATGGATGAACGGATAAATGGGTGGATGGATGGGTGGATGGATGGTTTGTGGATGGGTGGATGGATGGATGGATGGATGGATGGATGGATGGGTGGATGATGAATAGATGATGGATGGATGATGGATAGGTGGATGGGTGGATGGATGGGTGGATAGATGGTTTGTGGATAGGTGGATGGGTGGATGGATGGGTGGATGGATGGTTTGTGGATAGGTGGATGGGTGGATGGATGGGTGGATGGATGGTTTGTGGATAGGTGGATGGGTGGATGGATGGGTGGATGGGTGGATGGATGGGTGGATGGATGGTTTGTGGATGGGTGGATGGATGGATGGATGGATGGATGGATGATGAATAGATGGATGGATGATGGATGGATAGATGGGTAGATGGATGGATGGATAAATGGGCGGATAGATGGCTGAATAAAGAATGGGCGATGCAGAGTGGCAGAACTATGGCCTTCGGTCTTATTCTGGGCCCCATTCTCTTCCAGTACTTTTATTTCTCCCACTATATTTTATAACTTTTTGTTTGAGTCAGGATCTCACTCTGTCACTCAGACTGGAGTACAGTATTATGAACACAGCACACTGCAGCCTCAACCTCTTCAGTTCAAGCAATCCTTCCACCTCAACCTCCTCAATAGCTGGGACTACAGGTGCATACC